TTTTTAATAGTAAAAAGAGAACTATACCCCACTAAAAGATATACGGATGGCAAGTAAACATCTGAAAAGATGTCATCACATGTCATTAAGGAACTGCAAATTAAAGCAACAATGAGATACTATTGCATACCTATTAGAATGGCCAAAACCTACTTACACTGACAATACCAAATGCTGGTGAAAATGTGGAGCAAAAAGAACCTCATTCATTGCTAGTGGGAATGCAAAATGGTACAACCACTTTGGAAGATAGTTTTGCAGTTTTTTTTTTTTCAAAACTAAGCATCCTCATACCATAAAACCCAGCAATCAAGCATCCTTGTATTTATCCAAACAAGTTGAAAATTTGTGTGCACACAAAAACTTGCACATGGATGTTTATACCCACTTTGTTCATAATTGCTAAAATGTGTAAGTAACCAAGATGTCATTCAATAGGTGAATGGATAAATTGTTGTACCTCCAGACAATGGAATATTCTTTAGTTCTAAAAAGCAATGAGTTAATAAGCCATGAAAAGACATGGAGGAAACTTAAATGCATATTACTAAGTGAAAGAAGCAAGTCTAAAAAGGCTACACATGCTACATACTATATTATTCCAACTATATGACATTCTGGAAAAGGAAAAACTATGGAGACAGTAAAAATATTATAGGTTGCCAAAGGTTAGGGGAAAATAAGGATGAATAGGCAGAACACAGAGTATTTTTAGGGCAGTGAAAACTATTCTGTACAATATTGTAATGGTGGATATATGTCATTACGTATTTCTCAAAACCCATAGAAGGTACAACACCAAGAGTGAACCCTAATGTAAACTGGACTTTGGGTGATAATGCTGTGTCAATGTAGGTTCATTGATTGTAACAAATGTACCACTGTGGTGCAGGATGTGGATAATGGATACTGTACATATGTGGGGACAGGGAGTAACATGGAGACTCTCTATACTTTCTGCTAATTTTGCTGTGAACCTAAAAGTGCTCTAAAAATAATGTTTATTAACTAAGAAAAGAGAATTGCTAATATGGAATATAACACAAAATAGAGGTTCCTGAAGGCAATATTTCTATATTTATGTTATAAAAAATGGAGATAAAATGTTTTTATCCACAATGCAAAATCTTTGTTTTTATTATATAAACAAAACATGATTTCTGATTAGAAAGTATACAAAATTGTCAGAAAGAAAGGAATAATCACCTAACATTCTACCACTTAAATAACTACTATTAACAGATTGATGATTGTGATTTTCATGTATTTTTAATGCATATGTGGTGCAATTAAAAAGTTACTTTATATTTTTGAACCCTTATTAAAAATTATAATATATTAAAAGACAAACAGTTCCTCAGGTATGTATATGTGTGTGTGTGTGTGTGTGTATATATATATATATATATACACACACACACCTTTAAGAAATGTATTTAATAGTAATCAATGGAAAGGGTTCACAGGAGGATTATCTTCGAGTATATTTTGCTCTATTTTGTTTTACAAAAATGGTATTCAACATGGAATGTATATAGTTCCATCCATATTAGTTATGAGAAAAATGAATCTTTGGAACCAAAAGAAAATCAATAAAAATATCTTAGAATTCAACCAAATCATCAGTTCTAAAGCAAATCTTACTTTAGTATAGATGACTGCCATATTATGTTTCCAGGAACTATAGAATGCCATAAAGGAGAAGAAGATGTGAACATTCAATGCGCTAGAAGTGGTTCAATGTAAGAAATCTCTTCCAGAGAAATTGATTGGATTGCCCTATGGATCTTTTTCCTCATTCTGTTGATAACTAGGGAGAACATATGCACACTCTCCAGAAGATGAGTCAAGATAAAGGGTGTGAAATTCCAATATTAATGCTTCAAGGCAAGAGGGTGTTGCTCAAGTCCTAAGAAAAAATTAGATCATGATTCTAGGAGGTGGGCTGTCAAAGAAAACAGAGATACACAACACATAGATTTGTTCTATCTTTCCATGAGGTTATAACAGTAAGGGTTCCTGGCCATCACTCTTTCTTACCTCTTAGATGCTTTCTTTCCTTCCTAACAACATATGACTAAACCAGCTTAAGGAAGCTTCAAATGTGAGGGTGTGGAGGCAAGAGGAAAAGAGGGCAACTAATCTTCTCTGAGATAAATATATGGCAAATTTCTTTCCTCTGCTCTTAATCTCTCTCCTTTTGGCTATAATGAGTGTGACTTTCTTTCATACTATACCCCTTCTAAAATTCATGTTTGCAATATAGGAAATAACTATTCAAGATAAAAAAGCATGGGTAACAAAGAATATCTCATAGTCTAGCCCAGGTTACTAAAATATTGCAATGGAATTTTAGACCAAAGCCTCAGTTAGGAACTGCTTTGTTTGCTATTACTCCCAGTACATATATTTTCCTTGGTAACTTTTGAGTAAAAGGATTGACTGTGCAAAAGCAGATTTCAAATAGCCTTGGGTGCCCCAGCAAAACCCATCATAATAGTATCTAGATTTCCCTAAAATCCCACATAATAATATACAAATGTCCCTAAGGTTGATCTAATTGACCACCATAATTCTGTATTTATGTCAGTCTATTCAATAACAGAAGAAAAACCACCCTCTGACCAATATCTGTAAGCCATGGATAAATAATATCCCTAGCAATTGTTTTAGATCCTCAATGTCTTCTACTCCAATCCATTTTTTTATCAGATTCTTTCATCATGGCTTCTAACTTTTGGTTCTGTATATCATTTACAGTTTATTTTTGCACCATTAACTCTGGATGTTTATATGGACTTCTGGCTTTGCACCACAGTATTTCCTAAATGAATGTGACTTGAACTCACTCCTCTGGTTCTTTCCATTTTAGGTTACCATTAATATTGGAAATTTTAAGCCCTTGGGAGACCAAGCACGTTTCATCCCCAAACAGGAGCAGATTCAGACAATGATTGCTTTATCTAATTACTGAAACTCGAATTCCATTCTTGATTAAGCTTTACATTACTTTGCTCACAGTATCTTTCTCTAATGCACTCCCAGTATTAAATGCTGATATTTTCTCAACCCCTCCCCTTTCCCTACTCCCTAACTCTTTTAATGTTTTCTGGATCCTAGGTTCTCTTAGGTATTCTATAGTATTAACTGCTCTCACTATAGCTTCTAATAAACCAAGCTCCAAGTCACTAAAGACTAGACATGTGAGTAGTAAAAATAATAAAAGAATAATATATCAACTGAGTGAGCTGAAGAGAAGACTAAAAATGAAGCTAGCAGAAGATGGAATGACAATTATATATAGAAGAAATAGATTCAAAGATGAATCTTACAATGAAAAATTATTTCAGTTACTATAAGAAAGTGAGCTTTGAAGACTTCATAATGTTGTATGAATGGTAGCTATAAACAATGAAAAAAGCATAGGAAAATGTACATATTTATAGACTATGAAAGAATAATTTTTAATAAATGACATTAGTAGTGATACGGTTAGTAGAATTACTAATATCAAAGAGCTTTAGAAAACTCCTTATAATTAATATATTTTAGCAAAAGATTTATAACATTCAAAATGCTTCCAAAATCTTGAAATGGTATATTACATGTAACTTCATAAGTATTAAATAACATAACATTTATAATATATATTATTCCTATTTATGTATATATAATGGTCACTTGCCATAACACAACATATATACAAATATACATATATATGGATATGTATATATACATCTACATTTATATATGGGTGTTGGCTATCAGTATATCCAAATTGGTTATCAGTATACAACATACCCATATCCAACTTGGATATCAGTATACATCAGTGAAAGTCTTCTCTAAAGCTTATAAAAAGCAGGTGACATGCCTGAAATCAACATATTTATATTCTACAAAGAGGGCAAAAGACACTTCACATAAACTTTATAGAGCATACTATCATCTGGAGCAAATTAATACAGTTGGCACTGCATGCTAATGAGGAAAAAGTTTTGCATAAGATACATTTGCCTTTTAAACCTATGTTTTTATTCAATGGATAAATTTTGGTGGGATTTAAGGGCTTGCGGACATTACTGTACTATATCTAGAACACGTGTCCTCAATTACATTGAAATCAGACTAATGTCAGTCTGGACAGTTTGTATTCCCTTCTAATTATGTTAATGTAATGGAAACATTTGTAGCTCAGGCTATTCAGGTACAGGTGCAAATATGAAGGAGTTTACAGACAAACACAGTGCTTTATAAATTATAAAAAGTTCATTCCAGTTAATTATACAATAATGCTGAGTTTTCATTTTTACCATTACCTAATGGTAAAAGCAAAACAAAATTCTAAAAATAAAAAAGCACAAACTTTGGAGTCAGATGATCTCGAGTTAAATCCTACCAATGTCACTTAACTGTTTGGCTTTTGGTAAGTTAATCAACCCCTATGAGCCTTAGTTTCCCTAATCATAAAAAAAGAGGTAAAAATACCTCTTCCAGTATTGTGAAAAATATATTACATACCACATGCAAAATATCTAGCACAGTGCCTGGTACATAGTAGGTACTCAATAAATATACATTTCTTTCTATTTTTATTGTGTCCTTAAAGCAATAGATGATTTTACACAGAATACTGAGTGAATATTATACTATATGTACAATTATCAGCCTTTAATAAACTAAATATTTCTTTATGTTTTCAGCTACTGAGAATATATTTTATATTACTATTAATAACTACTTCCAATAATTAATAAGAGAAAGCACATATATAAAGCATAAATTATAAAATGGTTCTGTTAAGAGTGATTAATACATCACAAAAATTACATTTATACTACATTATATGACTTTTATCACATCAAGAAAATCTCAAGCATAATATTAACAATAGAAGACATTTAAAAGAGATTAAAGAAATTATCACTAATACAACATAAACTATAACTATAGTGTCTTAAAAATATTTCAAAGAAAAGTAATAAAATAATTATACTTACATGTTTCCAACGTGCATACTTTTCTGTTATATTGGTTCCAGGATGAAATAAGAGATCCTTAAAGAGCTTATCTTCAAATCCTTTGTGTTTGTAAATCCATTTTTTTTCACTTTCACTAATAGTTTTTTCCTGATGTTTTTTATACAAGAACAAGTGGCTGAATATAAAGGGGGGGGAGAACAGTCATTTAGTTTTTTTGCAAAAAAAAAAAGAAAGAAAACTACTTATGAGTTCACTTACATCTTACAAAACATAGTGGTAAACTTAATGTAATATTTGTTTTCATATTTTTACTATATAAAGCTAGGCATTAGGGCTGGCTCATCAACATTCATCAAGGGATGAATGAGTGCTGAGAAATCTCTGGGGACATGAATGCACAAACAATTCTGTAACTATATCTGGCTATGCATTTTATAATATAATGTCAGAGAGAACATGACTAAATTATCTATAGAAATATGTTAACCAATATAAACTCTTTTTATCTTTCTTCTCCAGTAAAGAAATAACTTCTTATTTCCACCTAGGAAAACTACTTTACAGCAGTGCTGTCCAAGAGAATATAATGCATGCCATAAAGTAACTTAAAATTTTCTATTAGCCACACTAGGAAAAAAGTAAAAAGAAATAGGCGAGATTAATTTTAATACATTTGACCCTTGAACAACACAAGTGTGAACTGCATGAGTTCACTTATATATGAATGTTTTTCAGTAAAAATAGTACTATACTATCTGTTATTGGTTGAACCCACCACACTGCGGAACCCGCAAGTACAGAGGGACAAGTGTAAAGGACTAGAGCATCTGAAGATTTTGGTATCTGCAGCAGGTCCTGGAACCAATCTCTTGCAGATAGCAAGCGATGACTGTATTACGTTTTATTTAACCTAATGTATTCAAAATATTACTAGATAAATGGCATCAACAAACTAATATCACAATAGTAAAATACTAAATGTTAGCTCTGTAAGATCAAAAACAAGGGAAGGATAACATCTCTCACCCAATCTATTCAACATTGTACTCAAAGTCCTACTCAGTCCAATAAGGAAATAAGAAGAAAACCATATACCAATATAATCTTTGAATACAGATGCAAAAATTCTAAATGCTAATAAAAAGAATCCAGCAATGTAAGCAAAGAATAATAAGACTATGACCAAGTATTACAAAGCTCATTACATAAACAATTTAATGAAGAGAAAAATGTAAGAGTATATAAATGAATGAAGAAAGTCATTGGATAAAATTCAGCAGCCAATCTATTTTAAATTTTTTGTAAGAGAGGATATCAAAGTAAACTACTTCAATATCATGAAGACAGATTACCAAAAACCAATAATATTCATTATATGTGATAAAAGAGCAAAATCATTTGAATTAAAATGATGAAACAAGTAGGAACTTTACTCTTACCATTATTATTAAATAGCAAAAGAAAAACAAAAATGACCAAGGAAAGCAATTTTTCCATTTCTCAGATTTTTAAAGTGGGCTCCACCTGTTCATTCCTTCATTCAAATATTTTCACTGATGATCTACAAATTAGTTAGGGTGAAATATATTGAGAATAAAACTTATACTGGTTCAAATAAGACAGAATTTTACTTTTCTCACATGCAGTCTACACTGGTGGAGCAGCGCTGCTCCATAAAATAATTCAATCTTGCCTCAGCATACTCAAAGACACTGTCATTAACCCACATGACTAATGCATTCCAGCCCATGGGAAGGGAAAGGCATGAAAACAAAGGGGGTACAGTTACCATTTAAGTATTTGAAGCAGCAGTTGTTGTAATTAATTCTGTTCACTTACAAATCTAACAAAAACATAGTCAGATGAACACACTTAGCTGCAAGTAAAATTGGTTAACAAAATCTCTAGTAGTTACTCAACTGCAAAAAGAAAAGAAAAGAATGGATTTTCAAGGAAAAAGTAGTATTTTGAAAATGACCACTATGTGCTCTCTGAAGAGAAGAAAGTCTGTAATACCATGAATGTTATATTCTCTAATAAGTAGAGTTAGACAATATAGAAATAAAACACTAAATATATAATAAGTGAATTGCTTTTCACATAGGCTGGATTGGGATAGTATTGCTAAGAGGAAACAAGTTATAGTGAGAATCTCAGAAAAACATTCTAGTAAAGCAAATGACAAGTACAAAAGGCCAGGTGGAAGTATGCTTAGGGAGGCAAGAACACGCTTGGCATGTTTGAAGAACAGGAAGGTCACTGGGATGGACAGTTACTGCAGAGTTTTAAGCAGAAGAGTGGCTTTGAGATCAGACAAGATCAAGATGGTGAAGTAGGAGGATGTGGAAATAACCTCCCCACAACGAACACATCAAAAATACATCTACATGTGGAACAATCCTCACTGGAAAGTAAGCAGAGACTGGAAGAAATATTCCTGTACAACCAAAGCTGTGAGAAAGATCCCCACAGAATCAGGTAGGAAGGAAGAGATGTGATCAGGTCAGGACCTGTGCCCCTGGGAGGAGACTCAGAAGAAAAGAGATACTACACAGGTGGAGACTCTCCCTGAGGAATGAGCAGTTTGAGCCACATATTGAGCACCCCAGCCCTGGGGTCCGACACTGGGAAGGCAAGCCCACTTGTCTGGTTCCAGGGCTGGTGGGACTAACAGCAGGGCTGTGGGAAGCCTGCTTGTGAGGAATATGCACAAACTCCCTTGCTCCCGAAACAGTGCAGAGGGGGTGGATTGAGACTGCAGGGTGGCTGGCTGATTTCCTGGAACTGTCCTAGCCTGTGTACCAACCTAAGGAGAGTGGTCACTCATGATGCAGCTCCACACTGGGGAAAGGGCTCTGTGGCTGAGGGACAAAGGACACTCAGACACAAAGCAGCAACTGAGAAAAGCAGGGGCAACCATTACCGGTGCTCACACAGGCAGTGCATTGGAAACAGTCCAGGTCCCTGCCAAGGCCGGACCACCAGAGCTTATGCCCCAACCCACACCAAGCCCACACGCTAGCCACTCTGGCCCCATCATTGCTTCCCTCTGGGGTGAGAGTGCCGGTGCTGGGTGTGGGAAGAGCAAACATTTAATGGGAACAGACAGAGCCGGCTTGAACATGACCCCCAGGGCTTCTGCTCCAGCAGCTTGGGACAGGCCCCTTCCACCAACAGGGTGGTGACAGCCACTGAGCAGAGGAAAAGCCCCAGCTCACTCATGGCTCTGGACCTAGCCACTCCTTCTCCAGCCCCACCTCCTACTAAGGTGATAGCTGCAAGCACACCTTCAGGAAAGATGTGACTAGTATTGTCAGATCTAGCTCTCCCATCAAGGCCACTGGGCACACACAGACTGTAGAGAAATGCTTCCACACAAGGACATTCTTTCAGGACTGTAATAAGTTACTGTTTCACCTAATTTCATAGAGACAGAGAAAGTTAAGCAAAATGAGAAGATAAAGGAATTTTGTTTCAATTGAAAAGGTAAGAGAAAACTCCTGAAAAACAACCAATGAAACAGAAAGAAATAATTTACCAGATAAAGAGCTCAAACCATTAGTAATAAGAATGCTAAATGAATTAGAGAAAATTATAGACTAATAAAGTGCAAATTTTAACAAGGAACTAGAAATATAATAAAAGAACCAATCAGAACTGGAGAATACAGTAACTGAAATGAAAAACTAAAAGAAAAACCAACATTTGCATTATAGGGATCTGAGAAAAAGAGAGAAGAGAGTTGAAAATGTATTTGATGAAATTATGACTGAAAACTTCCCAAACATGAAGAAGGAAATAGATATCCAGGTACAGTAAGTACAGTGGGTCCCAAACAAGATGAACCCAAACAGACCCACACCAGGACATATCATAATTAAAATGACAAAAGTTAAAGAGAGGATTCTAAAGGTAGCAAGACAAAAACAAAGTGTCATATACAAGGGAACCCTCAAAAATCAGCTGATAGCCTCATAAGGCTATCAGCTGATTTTTATGCAGAAAAAATTACAGGCCAGAAGGGAGTAGCATGATATATTCAAAGTGCTGAAAGGGGAAAACTGCAACCTAGGACACACTACCCAGCATGACTATCATTTAGAAGTGGAAAGATGACTTCTCAGACAAGCAAAAACATAAAGAGTTCATTAATACTAAACCTACCCTAAAAGAAATGTTAAAGAATCTTTTCTAAGTGGAAAAGAAAAGGCTATAACAAGAAGAAAGAATCTATAAAGGAAAAATCCCACTAGTTAAAGCAAATACATAGTAAAGGATGAAAATCAACCACTTAAATAAGCTAGTACAAATATTTAAAAACAAAAAATTGTAAAATCAACTATCACTACAATAGTCAGTAAAGGATACACATGAAGATGTAATATATGACATCAAAAACAATATGTGTGGGAGGGGAGTAAAAAGTGTAGATATTTTAGAATGTGTTTGAATTTAAAGGACTACCCATTTTAAACAAATAGATATAGTTACAGGTCAACATATATGAACCCCATGGTAACCATAAATCAAAAACCTACAACAGATACACAAAAACTAGAAAGGAACACAGCATTCAATTAAAGAAAATCATCAATTCACAGGGAAGAAACTAATAGAAGAAGAAAACAACAGAGAAGAACTACAAAAGCAACCAGAAAATAAGTGATAAAATGACAATAAGTACATATCTATCAATAAGTGATAAAATGGCAATAAGTACATACCTATCAATAGTTACTTTAGATGTCAACGGACTGAATGCTCCAATCAAAAGACATAAGATAGCTGACTGAATTAAAAAAACAAGTCCTATCTTTAGAAAAAGTAGAACAAATTGAGACCACAGTTAGCAGAAAAAGTAGAAAAAGAATAATAAAATGATCCCAAAGTTAGAAGAAGGAAGAAAATAATAAAGATTAGAGAGGAAATACATGAAATAGAGAACAGGAAAACAATAGAAAATGTAACCAACCTAAGAGTTGGTTCTTTGAAAATATAAACAAAATCACAAAGCTTTAGCTAGACTAAGGGGAAAAAAAAAGAGAAATGACCCAAATTGACAAAATTGTAAATGAAAAATGAGACATTACAATTTATACCACAGAGACATGACACATCATAAGAGACCATTATGAACAACTATATGCCAACAAACTGGACAACTTAGAAGAAATT